ATTCTGCTCTCACTAATGCACTGTGTGACTTTAGCCAATTCTATCACCTTCTCAGAGCCTCGGTTTCCCCCAGTCATAAAATATGGGGTTAATTGTGCCCCTTAGGAAGTTAGGAGGGTAATTGGGCAATGGCTCTGAAGTGTCTAGGAAGAGGAGATGTATAAATGTAAGGGATCATTAGAGGGTATTTCACAGCCTTTTTTATAGGCCCCAGTGTTATTATTAATCTTATCATTGTTATTGCCACCATCGCCCACTTCCTGAGACTCTGCCAGTACGGTCAGTGTTTCCAGGTGAAGAAGTTATGCTCCTGAGCCTAGTGTCCCAGCCAATGGCTTCACTGAATTCACACCCTCTGCACTCAGGGTACCTGGGTTACCCTCAGGAGCTAGTGATGGTGGTTGAGATGGGGTCTTTGACAGAAGCAGGTCAGGGATCCAAATGAGAGAGGGAGACAGTGCCGGCTCAGGGAAATTTACAACTCCCCTTTGTCCCTGGGGACATTTCCAGGCTGCTGTGGGAACCCTGACTCAGAGAAACAGATGTGGAGCTGTGGTCTTTGGGGTCAGAAGGGATGGAGAGGGGCTGAGTGCAGAGGAGGCTGAAGTGGAAAGATGATGCTGTCTCCAGAGGCAGTAGATGAGCTAGTTGGTAGGAAACGGTTCCTTGAAGAGGCAAATGGCTCTTTGCGAGGACTCTCCGTAAAGGCCGGAACATACTGTTTCCAGATGAAGCAGGGCATGGGCCTGGTAAACAGTAGGCACTCAACACATGTTGGTTGAAGTGAATTTCCATGCTTGCCTTTCCCTTCCAGGCAGGTTTGAAACCCAGCAATTGCTTTTGGGAAGGCCTTGGGTGCCCCCTGGTGGTGATGTCCAAGGCTGAGGGGTACCAGTGCCTGGCACTCTAAGGTTTCTAGGGCTTGAGAGATCTGCTGAGACTCCACTGACCTCATTCCCAGAGGCCTGGGGTAGGAAGAACCAGGGAAGACGGAAGAACCCTGTGGGTAAAGATGAGTGGAATGTCCTTGCTGGAAGCTCCATGGCAGTTGGACAGACTTCGATCTGGCGGGGGGACCAGGGAGTTGGTAAGTCAGGGCATGGGGTCAGCAGTGACGTATGTCCATGGGCAGCGGAGAAAGAGGAGTGGCTGTCTGTGTACCTGGGGTGTAGAGTGGGGCAGCTGCCAAAGTATAATAGGGAGATACGTTTTACAGACTCTCTCAATTGTTCATGGAAGACTGAGGAACTCTGGGTAACTGAAATCATAGATGGGCCTGGGAGAAAAAAACCCTGATTCATTTAAATTAGGCATCTGTCCCATCAATAAGAGTGTCAGAGATGGTTTGAAAAGTCTGTAATTTTGACTTCTCTGTCAGGTGGAAAGAGAAGAGATGAGAATGTAGAAAACCAGAGGGAAAGGGGAGAAGCAGAGGCTACTGGGAAAATCCTTAAGGCAGAGCAGACATTGAAAGGTTGAGTTGGCTCTCTAACTCTTCAGAAATAAACAATAAAGTTTGGGTCGTAGCTCTGAGCGAGGAACAATAGATGAATCAAGGGCTGGGACCTTAGTATTCTAGTTTTTGGACATCCAGCACCAGCTGTACTGTTCCTTTCAGAGGAGACCCAAGTAGGAATCCGGAGCTTAAGGGCAGAAAGTGTTTCTGCATCCATCCACCCCTCCCTCTGGTGCCCTCTGCATCCTCAGAGATAAATGCTTACTCTCTGGTAGTAATTTATTTGATGGGGGCAGCCATATGCAAAAGAGGACAAGGGGTTTAAGAAGCAGATAGGGAAAGAGAAGTGAAATGGAGGTGAAAGAAGCTTGGCTTGGAAGAGAATGGGATAAATCCATGAAAAATGTTCAAAGGATGCAGTCATTCAGTCAGTTAACAAACATTTGCTGCGCACTACTATATCAAGCAGTGTGCTGGGAGTGGAAGGTGCAGTGTTGGACAAGACAAACATGGGGCTTTTAGCGGTAGCTTTGTAAATTAAAAATGGGAAGAAAGTGATAACTTAGAGCAGGAAGAGGCTGAAAGCAGTTAGAAACAAGAAGGGAAATGAAAGAACCTGCCCCCAGATGCACCCCAGGAAGAGATGTCTCCCTGGTTGGTGTTGAGACACAGCTGGAACCACCAGTCAGCCCTGGCTCTGTGAAGACCGAGGCAGGTAGGGTGGCAGGGGAGAAATTCAGGAAGGGGAGGGACAGGACTGGGTGGGGGTGAAGGGTACAGACTGTTCAGTTTTTCATCTGGGTGCTCCCAGTGGAAGATATCTTTGGGCTACTGTCAATATCTGGCTTTCTGCTGGAATCACCTGAGTAACGTCTTGACACTGTTGCTGGTGTCCCACCCCCAGAGATTCTGATTTCCTGGATCTGGGAGGGGACCCAGACATCGGAATTCATTAAAAGCTCTCCAGTGAGTCTAAAGTATGGCCACGGAGAAAGTGGGCATTAGAGGATGGCTGCCTGGCCTCCTTCCTCTCTGTTGAGGATGGGGTCATCTGCAAGGGAGAAATCCTTGAAGGGAAGTTGTGTGGTGGTTTTAAGGTATTGTAAATAAGGCTCCAAGATTCCAATGGTCCTAATAAAAGTGTAAGGGGGTCTTCTCCTTGGAAAGTGCCCCCTTCCTTGGCTGTGTCTCTGGTAAGAGGAGCAAAACAGCCTAGAAATAAAGAAAAAACAAGACAATGGTGACTATTAAAAAGGAAGAACCATTCAAGTACCTCGAAACTGCTGCCAAATTCTTCTAAGTTTTTGCACCCCGTCTTACCACCCACATGTATGCACACAGTTTTTCCACTTCTGCTGTTTTCATGATGGGGCGTCTAGACAGCTGCCACCAGCTTTTATCCCAGAAGAGGTTTGGCAGTGGCCCAGCAGGGTATTCAACCCCACCCCCACCCCCAAAAATCCCTGCACCCTAGTATAGCTGAGTCACTGGACTGGGGTGGAGTCCTTGGCTTGACAGTGAAGCAATCTTAACTTGAAAAATGGCCTGGGAACAGAATGTATGATCTATATAAACAAGTTGTATGTACACATAATTGTACGCAAATATCCATTCTTTAACTCAGCATACATTTCCTGGCAATCCACTTATACTGGCCTCAAACCTTCTACATCAGCTCACAGTCCAGCAGGGGAGTTAGAAGTGAAAATATAAGTGTGTAATGTAGTTAAGCCCTTTGCATGTTCTAAGAACAGTCCAGAGAAGGAAAAATCTATGATGTGGTTGGAGTTCAGTGTTCAGACTTTGATCAGGGTCTTGAAGGATGCACAGGAGTTTACCAGGAGAAAGGAAGGATAAAGTGGAAGGGAAATAGAAGCGTAAGTGTTTAGGGCAAACAGGTAGGATTTGTAAAAAGGGAATAGGATGGGTTAGGGAGGTAGAGTAAAAGATACACAAGTAGAGTGTAAAGGACATTGTTTGTCTAGAAAGGAGTTTGGGCTTTTTATCCAGAAGGTGTAGGGAACCAATGAAGGATATTAACTAGAGGAGTGATAATTTCTAAAGTCTTGTTTTTCCATGGCTAAAGCTGAGAGGGTAGAATGGAAAAGAATATTAACGTTTGTTCAGAAATTATTGCATACTGGACATTCTGCTCTGTGTTTTATCACACCAATCCTTTAGGACAGTGTTTTCACACTGCCAGTCATGATCAAGAAAAGGAAGGCAGGAAGGAAGGGAGAAAGAATAAGGTAGGATAGAAAATACCGGTTCACCAGGGGTAGGAAAGTACTGTTTTTGGAAACTTTGTTACATACTCTGGCAGGAATATAAATGTACGAGGTGAGGATGCAAAGGTATCTCACTGTCGGTTACGGATTAAAAGAAAAGGAAAGCTACTGCTCCAAGGGGTAAGTGTGATTAGCCTCAATTTACAGATGAGGACATAAGGTGCAGGGAGCTTCAGTACTCTGCCTCTCTGTAAGTGAGATGTGTACAGTTTCAAACCCTGGCTGGTCTGAAGCCAGAGTGGATTCCTTCTTACTGATGCCAGGCAGCCTTCCCTAATTACGCATCTATAGTAAAGACCTGGGAAAGATAAACTTGCCAAGGGCTATAGCACAGCACCTCAGAGGTAGGCGGGGCAGAGACCAATTCCGTCCACCCGAGGCGCTGGTTAGCATGCATATTCCAGGCGTGCCCAGACGTACCAATCAGATTGAGAGGTAGCCCCGGGAATCTCCTTGTAGAGAGCTTTGCGTGATTCTGATGCCCACGCTTTGGGACCGGCAATTTAACCAGGTGAAATCAACAGAAGCTTGAATGAGACGGTGAATTTAATCCCCTCTCGTGAGTGTCGCGTAGCCCCAACTCTACTGTGTCAGGCTCCAGTGCCTCCCAGTACAAAGTCACTTGGGGGCTCATTTCCCTGTCCCGAGGGGATGAAGGGTGAGGAGCTCGTGGGTCTCCACTCATCAGGTACCGTACTGAGTATACGAAGGGCCCTGCCACACCAGGGCCACACAGGACTGAGGAGCAATGTATATGCTATTTATAGGGCATTTCTCGGCCTCACCTAAGGACTTCTTATTGGCTTTGGAGTACATCTATCACTCATTTTCTGGGTTAGAGGTGGGTGGAAGGTCAACCACGACCAATACCAAACCACTCTTCTACTAAGCCCCTCCCCATCTAGCTTCCTGTTGCTGTCCATCAACCACCTCGTGGGCGGGACTTTGATGCCCGCCAGTTGGCTGGCGAACATGTCGTTCACTCTCCAGTAGGTTTTCGGTTGGTGCCCTCTACCGTCCATCAGTGACATTTTACAGGTCTATTGGCCAAAGCTACGTCGCTCTAGATACCTCTCCTTGATTGGTTAGTAGTGCTGTCGGTCCTCAATGTACCGAATTTTTATTGGTGGATGCTGCCGTCGCTCGGGCGGTGGCGGGCTCCGGGATTGGCGGGTGCTAGGCGGGCGGTGTCAGGCTCTCGGTGGCGGCGGAGGCGGCGGAGGCCAGGGAGGAAGATGTCGTAATGAGCGGTGGGTCCTGGCCGCTGCCGGTGGGGTCTTCCCGGCCCCCAAGGGTCAGGAAGACGGGCAGAGGCCGCAGGGAGGGGGAGCCGAAGCCGGGGGTTCCCCCCTGGGGCCGGGCCTGGCGCCGGGGCCCGGCTCCGGGAGGGGCGGGGGAGGGAGGATTCCCGCCCGGAGGAGGAGCGGGGCTGGCCAGCCGGGCGGAGGCACCCGGAAGGGGGCGTTAGACTCCCCGCCCCCTCGGAGCCCGCAGGGCCGGAGGGCGGCGCTTCCGGGGGCTGCCAGGAGGAGTGGGCACCCGGGGCGAGCCTGGCACCTTTCCGCCCGGTCGCCGATCCGTCTCAGCGCTGCTCTTTCCGTGGCCATTGCATGGGCCTGCTCTGAGAAGGCGGCCGACGCCCCTCGCGCTTGCCATGCGTTTGGGGAATCCTCCTGCACTCCCGTCCTAGGTGCCCATGAGCGATTCAGGGCTCTCCCAAGAACACAGAGGGCCAGAGAATGCTTTAAATTCAGATGGCGCCAACCACACGGGCACTGCTGGGTGTAGAAGCCAACCTGGTTACCAGTGTTATGCCAATTAAGAGATAGTGCCAGGACACGAGGGCACTCCCTGGGCAGATGACCTCTCGCCTTACGCTGCGGAGTGGGCAAAAAACCTAATGTTTTCACTTGGGTCCTTGAGCCTCCAGCTAGATATCTGCAAGCTCTTAGCATAATTGTGAGGCGTGTAAGAACTTGTTGGCCAAACTCCTAGCCTGTTGCCTGATGTCCTGTCGCAGGGTGCCGGGAACTGTTGAATCCCGAGGGCCAGACACAAATCTAAGGAATGACGTAAGAAATAAAGTGGATACTTACTTTCCTCCTCCACCCCACGTCCATACCCATTGCTGATTTATGGTTCTCAGCTCTTACCCGTGCTTCTTGGCTTATGTTCTGGTGGCTTTCTATTTTTAGTTGAAAAGGAACTGTGTCTTCTCTGGGCTATGGAGAAACCTGCCCTCATGGTATTATTTGGTTTTGGTTCCAATATACTGTCATGTTTAATTGTTTTTTAATTAACTTGATTCAGAGGGACGCAGTCTGGCTTTTCTCAGTGCACATTCTCCTGAAGTTTGTTTCTTCTGAGGTTACTTCTTGCTCACTTGTTTCCTAGAGAAAGGGAGGGAGGAGCCAGGAGGTCTGCTTTGAGCAATGAATTGGCACACAGTACCCCATTGCACCAATTTCATTGCACATAGAGGGGTGATGACTCAAGGTCCACTGGCATACCCTCTCTGAAACTTGCATTTTGTACCCCAGAAGGCATTAAGTATCGCAATGGAGGGCTAAGCATTGAGTTGGTATTTTGGAATAGATTTTTAGGGCTACAAAGTTTAAGGTGTTGGCTAGCTCACAGAAAGTCTGTAAAGGGAACAGAGGTGGAGTCCATAGGAGTCATTTTGATTAGTAACACAAAGAAATTTGTTGTCTGCAATAATGAATATAACTGCAGTGTCTTGTTTTAAATTCTTGTGTGCAATGAAGGGGGTGAATCTGTGAGACAACCTATCATTTGGGCTGATGATGTTCCAGTGGCTTCTAACAGGCATTAATACCTGTTGGAAATGGATTCTCATTGGCTGGGGCGATTGGTAAGTTTTCTAATTCTGGTTCTTCCACTTGGTTGTACAGAGGCTTAACCTCTTCATGTAAAATAAGCAGCAACAAGGAAAAAAAAGGTGGTCTGACATAATTATGAACCTCCTGAACTAGGCTGCTAAGGACAAGTCTCTTTGCTAAGGAGACCCAAGTATTAGTTCATAATCAGATCCTTACCTGACTGCCCTGCAGGGAGAACTGGCTCCAGGAGTCAGAGTTTGGCATCACTGTGGATAGCACATAGACTGGCCAGCTTTTTTCCTCAGATTCTATTAAAGTTGGGCCTCTGGAGGCCTCTCAGAGGAGAAGCTTCCAAAGATTGAAAAACGTAGGAATTATTTTGGAGGGGGTGGGCAATGTCCACAGAATGAAAGATGCAGAGAAACACTCCTTTAAAGGTTGTGTAGAATATTAGAAAGTGTAGAGATGTAACGGTGTGAATGCTTCTGAGTTTAAATGATGACGTGGACCAAATGATTACGTGAAACCTTCGTGGACTGCAAACTTGGAAGTAAATTCTATTTGGAGAAGCTCCAGTGCTTTCTTATGAATGTATTGGTAGTGATCCATCTGGAGTATCCCTTTGGGCAGCTTACTTGGATTTGTGAACTTTCCTGCAAGTTCTAAACCAGGAGCACTTGGCCTTCATGCTGGACCAAACCAGTACAAGCTGGACTAAGAAATGCACTTCATGGAATGGATATGTTGATGGTTTTGCTTGTTTGTATTTGCTTTGCTTTTGATTTGGATCCTTGTGTGACTTCTAGATACATGCGACTCCTTGTGTGACTTCTAGACCAGTTGAAGGACGGGAGAAAAGGGTTTCTCTTTATTTCCTCCTTCATAAAGCCAACACTTAGATCTTTTTATTTCAGAAACAAGGCTGAAAATCTCTTACTCTTAAGAAGTTCTTCCTCAATGATCAGCAGATCTTTTCTGGCTAGCAGTTCTTTAAGGAGACCTCAGGGTAGAAGCTAACTTTTCTGCCAGGTATCTATGGAGCTGGGTAGAAGAGGGTAAAAATATAGGACATCACCAGCACAGCCTAAATAGGAAATGTATTAGAGAGTGCCCTTGAGGAGATACTCCGTTGGGTATTGGGAGGTGTGTTCCAGTTGACAGGTTTCCAAAATGGACAGCTGAAAGGAGAGCCTGGGAGCCAGCTCACAGTCAGCACCTGCATCTTGGGGGAAGCCGTGACTTCCACTCTAAGTCTAGGAAGCGCTCTTTCCAGATGGCTCAGGGGCTGTCACTCGCAGAGAGGTTCATGGCGCATCTCAGGCTGGGCTTCAGGCGGGTGTGCTCTTGGGAGATGAGCTCTGCTCAGGTGCAAGGAAGTATGAGAGGGCTAAGTGCCCAGTTCGGATGCTTCTCAGTTTACCCGTTAGCAGCACTGAGATGTCAAGGCTGTTGGTATCACAGGAGTAGCCTGCTTGCAGACACCCAACTGTCTGAGTCCTTCCTTTGGACATCTTATTGCCGTAACTACAATTTGTTTCAACATCAGAATCATGGGCTGCACCTACCCAGAAGCCCTACCACATACCACGCAGAGGTTTAGCTTGGGTGACTTGTTTTTGATGCTGAGGGCTCTGAAATTCCACTTTGTCTCTGTGCTGTGACTTAGGCTGTTAGGTGGCGTCTGTCATCTCAGCCATGGGGTACAAGTGGCCCAGGAACCAGCAGGCACTAGTCTGTACACTTCCAAATCAATGTCCTCTTTCTAGAGCTCCTTCATGGGGTATTTGTTACCTCTCCAATGGGACTCCATGGAATCACAAAGTGGCCTCTCACAGAGTGTGAGCATAGAGTAAGAGACAGCAGGCAGGGAATATTTCAGCTCTTGACTAGTGCCTCACTGGAAGTCTTCTCAGATTTGCCTAAAAACAGACGAAAGCATTTATCAGCTTTCAGAAAAGTAAATGGTAAGCCAGCCCTCTCTTCCCAAGGAAAATGAAGTCATCGCTCATTTCAGAACCAATCCTAGCCCAGGATGAATGTGGGGAGTGACTCACAAATAAATGTGCCACGGTAGAGAAAACATGTTTCTACATAATGATACTCTTTAGGGGTAAAAAGTGTATCTTAGTTTCTTTTTCTCCTGTTCTCCAAGACAGAGTACTGAGGCCCAGTATTCTTTGTACCATTTCTTGGGACTGCTTCTGTCAGAGTGAAGAGTTCACACCATCCCCTGCTGCCCTGTGTTCCCCTTCACTTCTCCAGAGTCCCTTCCAGTCCAGCTGGGTGTGACCCAGGTAGGATGCCAACTAGCAAATGACACGGTCATATTTTGGGGAGAGGAATTCAGGGTGGAGACAGATAAGCAGTATTTGTATAGCAGGTACCCTCATTATCATAAATCACTTGGAAAAGAACTTCCTCCCAGTACATGTTAATTCAAATAAGCTTTGAAATGTGGTGCCTAGTGTGTGGTGATGAGGTGAGCTTTTGATACAATTGTCTAGGAGCAGGACTGGACTGTGCTGGCCCATGCACAGGTTCCTGTGTGAGGTGGCAGGCGGGGTTGAGAGTTCCATCTGGGACTAGACAGGCAGAGCTGACCTGGCGGGTGGATCCCAGGCCTGGTGCCGGGATATGCAAATCTGCAGGTTTTCTCCTTTGGTTGGTAAATTGCATTCAGGTTCTCCAACAGTGCATTCAGGATTCATCATCCATCCACTCAACAAAGATGTCTTAAGCACCTACTGTGTGCCAGGTAGAGGGGGTACATCAGTGGGTAAGCAGAGATAAGTTCCTGCCTTTAGGAAGCTTACATCTTAGTGGGAGACAATAAATAACTAATACATATTAGGCAAGGAACAGTGTTAAGAAGAAAAATAGAATGGAGGCTAGGAAGAACGTAAAGGTGCAGTTTATATGGGGTAGTCGGGGAAGGTCTTGAGAAGGTGACGTTTGAGAAAAATCTG